ATTGATTGATTGATTGATTGATTGATTGATTGATTGATTGATTGATTGATTGATTGGTTGGTTGTTAGGTTGGTTGGTTGGTTGATTGATTGATTGATTGATTGATTTCCAACATTAATAAAATGAAACAGTGTTACTTCACCTTTAAAATAAAGTAAATGTTTGCTATGTCAGAAATTATTCAGCATATGTGTTTCCATCTCTCCTTTTGCAAATTAACTCTTTTTCGAAAAAACCCAAAACCACCTCAAGCGAGTGTATTAACTTTTATGCAAATTAGAGGGAGGTTTTTTTTTCGAATCTTGCCATTTCCATTTGCCTTTTCTAATGCAATACTTCAAAATGCGCATTAAAAAATGTTGATGGAAACATGGCTAATGTTTATTATATCAGGGTCATGAACATCTTTATTGCTACATCCTGGTGTCTTAGCATTCCAATTACATTTGTTCTAGATATGTGTCTGCTAGTGACTCAGTTTGACATTAAAACAAAACAAAAACAAATGACAGAGGCAGGTATTGTTCTAAATATTGCAGAAACAAAGATTGCCTAACTTCAACAGCTGAGCAACCTTCTCAGTAAAATCTGAGTCAGCTGGCAACCTTTAATCTTTCATTGTAAGACTCATTTAGTGAGCTCAAATGAACCGTTATCCCAGTGCCACTTCCTCCTGGACCTCCATCTGAGGACGGGCCAGGTTCTCCTCGGTCCAGATGGACCCTCCATTTTGGATGTGGGCTCTGTGGAGGACGGCTTGCTGGTAGAAGGAGTAGGGCATTCTCTGTGGTCGGTTGCTGTCCGGGTTGAGTACTCTCAGGTCAGGGAAGCAATGGACACAAACACAGGTTTCGACTGGGTTGGAATCATCAGATGGTTCACGACAGTTTGGATAGTTTGGGACTGTTTGAAAATCTAAAAAAAAATGAAGCAAAAAATAAAATTTATTTAAAAAAATGTAAATTCACTATCARTGTTAACCAGTTGTTCTGACTGAGTTTGTTTTACTAACCCTTGGAGCTCTTTCCTGTCTGACTGTCTGGAAATCCAAACTCCTGTCCTGACTGGACTGTACATTTCTGCTTGTTGTCACTGGCCTTTGGGGGTTTTGTGCTGGAGCTTCTGCCTCTTCTCAGAAAGACAACCAAGGCCAGAGATAAACTGAAAAGCAGCAGCCCCATGCACACAGCCTGGAGGGAGTAGAGCTGGATGGTGGAGTCAGCTAGTCCTGGAGGCATCCTGTTTTTCATCACTTCCATGGTAACTTTAGCCTGCAGCCGTTTGGTGGGCACAGGATGGGGCGTAGCTGAAGGAAGACATCACAGGATATCTTAGAAACAATTGTCAGTTATTTAACTCAAAGCATTCCTTTAAAAATGAAACAGCATTTTCTGTAAAAGTGCAGCGTGAATGCTGAAAACTGAACAACTGCTGAAAATGCTGAAACTAAGTTAAAGTTGAAAGAAGCAAAAGCAAAAAAGGGATAAAAGACTAACTGAAAGCTAAACATAGTAAAAGACTAGCTTAAGATTGTGAGTATATAAGATACCAAAAAAAGAGCAAATAAACTGAAGCAGTTTTCCAAAAAGACAATGTTTTTGAAGTAATTAAAGAGCCATCAATGTACAGTATATTCTATGGAGATGTTAATGGGGATGTGAGGGGATTGTGCCTGAGATCGGAAAGTTGCTGGTTAGAATCCTCTGACTAATAAATCCACCTTCATTTGCCCCACTCTTGTTTATTGAGCAAGATCCTAATCTTCCATCCTATCTCTCCCCAGATGGCAGACCCCACACTCCACACAAGTGGGCTGCTATAGCTTGGTGCTCAGTGGTTGTAAACAATTGCCAATTTAGCTTGCTGTGGCAACTGTTGATGAAGGGAGCAACTACAAATAAGTTACAAAAGTGGTAGTACCCATCTCCAAAATGAGCATTTGAAACAACATATAGATTTTTCCCCCCAAATGTATTACTTCCCAGCCAAAACCTGTTAAAAAACATGTTCCCATTTATAAGTTACACAGATTATTTCTGCAGCAGTTCTGAAATTTTGTGCAGCTACTTGATTTGCCATCAAACTTTTCCAACTTGTTTTCTGTCAACTGTGTCCAAAGAGATTTGACAGGAAGCCAGGCAGTAATTCAAAATGTAACTCCAGGGCAGCGAGGTACTCACTGGAACAGTACTGGGAGCACTCTGCAGGATGTCTGCCACAAATTTCTGCACACCTCACGCACTTCTTCACCAGCCTGTCAAAGTAGTGGCCGGGCTTAACCGTACAAAGGGCAGACTCTTGATGAAGAAAAGCACATGACATAAAAAAGACCACATTTGATAAACTGAAATCATGGGTTAAGTGTCACCCTCTAATTTATTTTTCCAACATGGAGAGATCAAATCTTTATCTTATCTTGGTTTAAATGTTGTTTAATTCCATCTTATATGTGTAAAACATAAAATAAAATAAAGTAGCACTCACCACAGTAACTGGCACATCTGGGGATTACATGTGACAGCTGGCAGACCATGCGACAGGGTATGCATTGTCTGGTCAAGCCATCCAAGTGTTCACCCTCTTTGCATCTTGCAGACATCTGCCCTGGTATCTCAAACTGACACACACACACACACACACACACACACACACACACACAC